TTGCTTCTTCAGCAGCCGGAGCGGCGGCCGGAGCCTTATCACCACCGTACTGGTGGAGATAAGTTTCGGCTTTCTCAACGTACTGTCCAATTCCTTGAGTTTCGTCTAATTTTCCATATTTCTGTGCAGCGTCGAGGACATCGGCAGCTGCTTCAGCTACTTTTTTGTTATCAACTTTGCCGGAATCTTTGTTGAATTGACTTTGAGCGGCATCTGCTAACACTTTAGCACTGGCGAAAAGCTCTGTTGTGGAACCAGATTCCTCGCCGCCGGCTTTTTTCTCATCGCCGGCTCCGGCGCTCTTAGCCAAAGATGAGAGAAAATTCATGATTTTTTTGAGAAGAAGAATGAATTGTGCGTTTATGTGTATGAGATATGATTTGAATAGTGAGGAGGTTGTATATATAGAGTGTTTCTAAATTATTTTTCATTACTCTCCTTCTTCCATGTATCTAAATTTGTTGTACTTGAGCTTCACGACAAATTATTAGTTTGTCTTCAAATTATTGATTGCTTTAAAAGTATCATTTTATTTGATTAACTGAATTTTTTATCATGAGTAAAATATAAATCTAAATTCTCATCAAGTTTAGTGTTTCAACAAATCTTTCGACTTTTTATTAAGAGTTTCATACTTCTACACGAGTTTGAAACCATTTTTTATGTCATGTGGCAGATCGAAGGAGTGTATCTAAATTTAGTTAATTAAGAGTGTTTTTTAAAATTGTTAATAATTTAAGGACGAAATTAATAATTAACATTAAATTCAGAAGTGTTTTTAATATTTCGAGAATAAATGGATGATAGTGAAGATTTTTTTTCTTGGGCTTTAATGGGAAGGTGGTGTGAACTGTATGAACGTGTCTAATGGGCCCCCACTCTTATGGAGGGGCCCATTAAACGTGATTGATCCAAATCAAGAGAGGTGTCGGCCACACACATTATACGCGATTTTTCCTCAAAATTAAATTGCTTTCAACTACTAATAAAGTACTATCAAATTAAAGTCTCTTGATATTAATTAATGTTCATTAAAGACCATTTAATTGTCTATCCACTACACTTCAAGTCTACAACTACTCCCAAATTACTTTTACACCCCATCCTAACCATAACATATCTCGTATAATTCAATAAATCGAAAAATGTACAAAAAAAATTGGATAACTAGTTTAGAAAATTTTTCTTCTACACACCTTGACGTTATGGTAGGATATATTAGAAAACACAATATTTGTATAATATTATTTAATTATTTGTTTGATAGGATTTTAAGATAGAGATTAAATATGTATATATCTTTTAACTTATAAAGTATAAAGTAACTATGGTGAATATATCATTCGTTTTCATATATATTACAAACTAATAATACATTTAGTGATAGCATGGCACGACAAGAAATCAAATGTGATGATGGTGAAAAGGAACTCGAGATGACAAAGAATTAGAAATATATATATTAAATTTCTGTCGGCAGAATATACTATAACGATGCTACAAATTTTGGCCACTCTTTTAAATTATAACATAACATGCATCATGTATAAACAAGGACAATTATGATTTGATGGATAAAATTCATCGAGTACTTTACCTTTATTATAGATTTGAGTTTGAATCTCATTTTTAGAAAAAATCTTGTTATTGAATACTTTTATTTTAAATAAATCTTAATTAAATTTCAATACGAATATGAGAGTTTTGACGGGAAACAAAGATATTATTCATTGTGACACAATGGCCCCATAGTTATTGCTTTGCAAGGTTACCCCATCATTAGGATACTTTATTTCAATTTGACTCCATAAATGAAGGATTCGACTTTCTTCATTTGAATAAATAAATAGGCAACACCTTATTATATTGTGTTGTTTGTGTCCGGTTGATCACGAAGTTTTAAAAATTAATTTAAAAATCTATAGTATAATAAAAAATAAATCATATATTTGAGTAGTTATGTATTATTCATTTATTAAAAGTATAAGTAAACAATAAAAAAATATTTATTTTTAATATAAAAATATGTTTTTTAGATTAAAAATAAATTGTATCACATCAAATTGTGACAGAGGATTTTAGAAGTATTTGATGGATTTTTAGGATCTCATATTGCCGTACTTCTTCTTTTTTTTTTCTTTTTTTCTTTTGAGGCAATGAGTATAACACTATTATAAATATCAACTTTGCTAAATGACATTTTAAAAAATGGGGATTTACAACTTGCTAAAGTCGAGTCACAAGTCACTCCTTCAATACAAAAAGGATGTGGCCCGACTACGAGGGTCCCTATAAACTTTAGAGAAACTTATGTAAATAAGTTATAGTTTGAATTATAATTATTATCAGTAGATATAGTTTGTATAATTATGATTCATAGCAATTGTTTGAGAAAAGAGAGAGGCGAGTGATATATATGTGAAAGAGATGTTAGATCTTGAGTCGTAGCATACGTATATATAGTGTGATTTTTTATTGAAGGAGATTCGGATGAACCTGTTTTGGCGCAATTACATTTCGTATTTGATTATCCTTTCACAAATACTTAAATTGGAGGAGTATTAAGTAAAATCAACTAACATGTTCTAGAAATTTTAGCTACTTGTAAAATACGTTAATTTTCCTTAATTCTATTTCTTTATTATAACGTTTGTTTATTAAGCTGATAATTAGGCTAGTTTTAGGAATATTAAACTATAGGTTATAACATTAATGATTTTGAAAATATGACAACATAGTATCCAAATGTTCTCCCTTGTGTTGATAGAATGACCACATTGTGATGCTCTAATTTGTTCACAAAAAACACTATAAATAAATGTCAATTTATGTTGATATATTCACATTATTAATATGAATGATGATGATGAACAATGGTGTATCCCCAGAGGAGTGTGCCTGGAAACACAGGTGCATTTTGGTCCTTTTTTTTTTCAATTGCTGGACCAAAATATATTTGTGTTCCCAGGTCACCCCTTTGGGGTCACCTTGTTTTTGATTTTATAGAATGATGATAGTTATTATTTAAATACATTTGTATTCATTATTTATAGATTGTAATAATTTTTTTACTCTTTTATGATCATCCTTGAATATTACTTGATCGATTAAGGTATTGTCATTCTGTTACTAAAATTTTCTAAAGTTTCTTATACTTATAGTAATTTATTCATATATTAGATGCAGCTAACAAGGTCATTTATCTCAAATAGTGCATTAGCCGTAAGAAAAAGATGTGTCGAATACAAGCACTCATTCGCTGAGCTGGTCGAAATTGAGACATACCAATGTATTCTTTATTTATTTTTATCAAAAAATCATTGAAGAATTGAATTTCGTCAACTCTAGCACCATCAAGGAGTTGATGTAAGTTTTTGTTTTTATTTCCCACTGTTGTTCAACAAATTTATTTGTCGATATTTCAAGAAATTCAAATAATGTTCTCATAAATTCATTTGTATTCACTTTTTTTTGTTCATTTGAAAATGATATGTTATATGAAGAGCAGCTCGGTGCACTAATAAGCTCCGTTATATGCAGGGTTCGAAGAAGGGCCTGACCACAAGGTAAGATTAGAGCCTTTGTTAGGGAGGTTGAACTTCAATGCGTGTAGCGGAAAAAATGTAAAAGCAGAAGAAGAAGGAGTAGGAGTGTAAATTCCCATATTACCCTCCATTTCATCTCAAAACTACACATCGGCAAATTCAGAGTCTTCAGTTTCAAAACCCCACCGGCGCCATCTAAACCCTACTGACACTCTACCGTCCGTACAAATCCCGGCGAAAATGGAATCGGAAAAATCCTCAGCTCAAATCAAAGACAAAGATTTGTTCAAAGCTGCTGAATCTGGTGATTCATCGCTCTTCAAATCACTTCCCGAAGAACAGCTCCTCAAATCCCTCTCTCTCCGTAATGAAGATGCTCGTTCTCTCCTTCACGTCGCCGTCTCTTCTGGACACACTGAGGTTCTTTCAATCTCACCTCAATTTCAGTTTTTTTAAGGGCTTCCGAGCCCCCTTTGGCGAAGAATTATATTGTAAATACAATGTCAAAATTATTTGTTATGTATATATAGTAGATATTGAATCTCGTTTGTGTATTTAGTTCTTCGTGTTTTTGAACACCGTTATGAAAATACTGGTTTGGTTCGGCTACTGTGCTTTTTGAGATAAATTTAAGTATTTTGAAATTAGTACTCTCCTGGTATCTACATGTTTGATGTTTTTCCCTATCCAAGATTCAAACTTTGTGAACTTTAACCAATATTTAGAATGCATCTTTACAACAATAATAGGATGTACACACACCTTATTCCTACCTTTGTGAGGGTGGAGAGGTTGTTTCAAACAGACACTCTGGTCAAAAGAAGGGTAATCAAAGTAGGATTGAAAGGAAAATAACGACAACAAAATAGCAAGATAAACAAAGCACATGAAGCAACTTGTAGTAGTAAAACGGTGGGATTGAAATGGATCTTTCTTCCCTAAGTAATGGTGGCAGTCAGAAAGTGTGCGCACGCCAAAACTAATCCCCTTGTTTTATAATGTGTCATATTCAATGTTTCTTGGACTCTTCAAAAATGTGTAGGGTGCGTGTGGGATCCTTCAAACATAGTATATTATTTGGAGAGTCCGAGCAACATAGATCATATTACCAATTTGATACGGAGAATTGTAACTTATTGTACTGTTGTGTAGTAAAAGATGAATTAGTCTAGCCATATCTAGTTATGGAAGTTAGTCGAATCAATTTTCAATAAGGGAAAATGTTAAAAAATGTATACATGGTTAAAAGGGTACTGATATAAATCACATTTTTTTGTCATTTGGTAAATCATAGTAAAAGAATTTTATGTTTGATTCTCCAAGTAGAAATGGAATCAAACAAATTGGGGAGGGAGAGAGTGTACAAATTTTATCTAATTCCTGAATGCGATGTTTTTACAATGTTGAATATCGCGGTTAATGTAATAACTTTGTGAAATTTGGGTTTCGGCGATGGCATTTAGGTGGTGAAGATACTTGCAGCTGCTGATCCCTCAGTGAGTGGTATAAATAGTGGTGATGAAGAAGGTTGGGTGCCGTTGCACTCTGCAGCAAGCAGTGGTAATGTGGAAATTGTGGAGATTTTGCTTAGCAGAGGTGAGTAGTATAACAATTTACTGTGTTGCACTAAGCTGAATACTTTATCTATGTCATATATAGATTTTATCTTGACAAACTTCATCAAAAAGATTCTATCTTTACAAAACTGGAAACGATATGTCAAAATGAAAAAAAAAAATCCTAAAGATTTCTATGCATTTAAGAGAATGGATAGAACTATCAGCCTTTTGGAGTTCAATTGATTTGTGTGCAATATTCCACTGACTTGTGGATTTTAAGGAGTAGAAGTAATTAAATTGATGTGCGAAACACATATGGATCATGGATGTACAGTTAAAAATATAGCAGTATTGAATTTGTTGAGTGTTAACTTCTATACAATTCTTTTCGCATTTTGCCCACCTGACATCGCAGTGGTCAGTCATGTAGTAATCAAATGATTCACAGCAGAAACTGAATTGTAATAATTTGTGCTTTTGTGCCAGTCCATCTACCCATTCGTGTATTTCACTGACCTGTGAAAGTGTACCTGCTTTTGTCAGCATTGTTTAAAAAGTTTCAATGAATTCAGTTCACTCATTTTAATAGTTGAGCCATGAATTTGTGATGGTAAATGTGAATATATTTGTAAATAGGGGCTGATGTAAATCTGAAAAATGATGGTGGCCGCACTGCTCTTCATTATGCTGCTAGCAAGGGTCGAGCGAAAATAGCTGAACTTTTGATTTCACATGGTGCTAAGATCAATGCAAAAGACAAGGCTTGTAATCTTATGCTTTGGACTACTCATCTCCTTGAAAAGTTTAGTATGGTTAAAATTATATTTGAAAGTAAGGGTGTTCATAACTTCTTGCTTTTGGTTTTATTAACATGTGATATAGGTAGGATGCACCCCATTGCATCGTGCAGCTAGCACTGGGAACTCTCAGCTGTGCGAACTATTAATTGAGGAAGGCGCTGAAGTTGATGAAGTTGACAAGGCAGGGGAAACACCTTTGATGACTGCTGTTGTATGTGGCAATAAAGAGGTAATTATGCAGAACTTATTTCCTTTACAGGAGTTAAATGTCTTAAATCTTGTTCATGAGCTATATAGATCGAAAGGATCATAAATATCTGACAAGTGAACAGTTCACAGTTCACAGTTCACAGATCCCACCCCCTCTTTTTTTTTCTTTTCTTTTTTCCATGTGTGTTTGTGAGATAAGGGAGATCATCTTTTCTTGAAAACTACATTACGGGACAAACAGTGACACATTGTGATTATGTTTACTTGACAGGTAGCTTTGCTCCTCATAAGACATGGAGCAGATGTTGACGTTGAGGACAAGGAAGGGTACACTGTTCTTGGTCGAGCTTCTAATGATCTTCGTCCAGTATTGGTTGATGCTGCAAAGATGATGCTCGAAGGATAAACTCCATGACGTTATAGTAGCCCATCAGAAAATGCAAACCAACTCTGTAAATGTTCAACATGAAGCGTGCTCAGCTCGATACAGACCGATGAATATCTTTCTGAAACTCTTTTAGTTGTATGGGAGGAAATCTAAATGATGTTCTGACTACTGTATTGTTTTCAACTAACTTAACCAGATATGTTCACTCCTTGAGGAAACAATATGTGATATATTGAGTTTTAAAAAAAGTCTTGTTGAAGAAGACTTGAAGAAGGTTTTGGTTAGAACTTATCCATTGAAACTTGTTAAGATTGGTATTAAAATGTTGAATATAAATTTTGGATCAAATTTTGAAGTAAAAAATATGTTGGTGAAATTTCTTATGGTTGGTTCCATTTGGTCCTTAATATAACGAGAAAATAATATAAAGGACTATTTCAATCATGTTTGTATAGTAAGGACCAAATGGAACCAAAGTAGCGAGAAAACGATCAAAATGATCCTTAATGTATAATCTTTGGTTCCATTTGATCCTTAACTGATAAACATGATCAAAATGGTATAGAGATGTATAGTCTTTGGTTCCATTTGATCCTTAACTGATAAACATGATCAAAATGGTATAGAGATGTATAGTCTTTGGTTCCATTTGATCCTTAACTGATAAACATGATCAAAATGGTATAGAGATGTATAGTCTTTGGTTCCATTTGATCCTTAACTGATAAACATGATCAAAATGGTATAGAGATGTATAGTCTTTGGTTCCATTTGATCCTTAACTGATAAACATGATCAAAATGGTATAGAGATGTATAGTCTTTGGTTCCATTTGATCCTTAACTGATAAACATGATCAAAATGGTATAGAGATGTATAGTCTTTGGTTCCATTTGATCCTTAACTGATAAACATGATCAAAATGGTATAGAGATGTATAGTCTTTGGTTCCATTTGATCCTTAACTGATAAATATGATCAAAATGGTGTAGAGATGTATAGTCTTTGCTTCCATTTGATCCTTAACTGATAAACATGATCAAAATGGTGTAGAGATTGGTATGTAACGTAGTTAGAGAGATTGCATCTGACTGACTCCGAGACTCAAGGAAAAATGAGCAAAGGAAATACATTTGTTCTTCTTTAAAATGGTCCAACTAACAAATGATGGCCCAAAGCCCAACAAGATAACTAACACTTCCATTTGGTTGAAATGAAATGATGGCCATTTGTTTTCTTCTGCTTCCCTATCTTCTTCTTCTTCTACTTTTTGGTCTAGTGGAAGCAGAGAAAAAGCAGAAATATGACTATGGCTACTCATATTTCTCCAATGGTATCAATGAAGCAATTTCCTTCAATTACCTTCAATCTTCTTCAACCATTCCCATCAGTCTTTCAAAGAAAACCAGCACTAATTTCTTCACTTAGAAAAACTCCTCATCTTTTCTCTTATTCATCTCCATCCCCTTTCGAAAACTTCACATTTCCCAAGTCATTCGTTCCGCTTTCTGCTTGCCTTGCTATTCTTCTATGGTCCTCTCCTGGTAATGTTATCTTGATCAATCTTTCTTTTGTCCCTTTTGTTATGGTGCTATTGTTGTTTATATAGTTTTGATGTTATATGTGTGAGCTATGATTATATAGGCGGATCTAGAATTTGAACTTTAGGATGTAGCAATATAGAGGATTCATATAACCATTCCATCTAATTTGACATTAGTTGGTGGACAGAGTTACCTGGTACTCATTAAGCCCCACATTAACTTCACATTAATCCGATGTGGGACTCAAGTCCCACACCTTGCAATAGGATCATAAGAAATCACCATGCTTGTGTGTGTTAGACCATTTCTAACCCTGGGCCAACTCTGCAATACCAATGTCACCATCCAAAACATGACAGACACGAAGGGTGGTGGGCGTCTCTGATACCATTGGTACAATCCAAGGAGAACCACACCCCAAAAGCAATGTAGGACTTGAAGTCTCGTACCTTGCAATAGGATCATAACACGGACCTAGCATATATTTAGAGCCTCTCCATAACAGGCTTCTTAGTCTAGTACAAGGCTTACACTAGTGCCAACTCATAAATGGTAACAATGAACATTTAGGTTTGAGGTAGCTAACCTTCTTTTCTTTCTTTTGAAATGTTTAGTTTGTTTTCCTTTACTAGTTGTTCATTAAGATATTACATCAACACTAGAAACTTCAGCCAATGGAAGTGTATAAGCTTAGCAAGATGAAATAGTATAAGCTTGAGATGCAACGGAAGTTTAAGTCATCGAATTCCTATTGACATATAGAAATATCTTGAACCTTGTTTTGTTGCTTCAATCGATTCTCTCAGTTTCTTTTGGATAGTATTTCAATAGAACGTTACTCGTGATACATTGAGTTCCTATTTACTTCTTGGTAATGGACATACATTTCACATGATTCTTTCGTTTTATCAGTTGTCAATGCTTGACTGCTAATGTGTTTCTATTGCAGCTAATGCTGGATTTCTTTCGGGTTATACTGGAATAGAATCAGTTCCTGGCCCTGAATTACCTAAGATTGATTTTCTTAATCGTTGGAACGGTATATTCTCAGTTAACATTGTAAAAAAAAATTCTGCTAACATTATGCAGTAAGATAATATGCTCTTTTGTTGCAGATGATAATCAGAAAAAGTATGCAGAACTTGATGAAAAATTCAAAGAGTCACCCCTGCTTAAACAGTTACTCGAAAAATCCAAGCAAAACAAAGAAAAGTAAGTTTTCTTTCTTGCATAGATTTTCATTTCGAATGATTAACTTTTTGGTTAATAGGTAGTAGAGGAACGTTGATTATGCGCTTTCATCCTGTCTCGTAAGGTTGCATTGCATATGTTGTATATGAAAAGAACTGAGTAAGATCATTACATCAGGCACCAACCAAATGGTAATTGTTCGCGTATTTTTCAGGAACAAAAAGTCAATTGAAGACAAGTATTGTTTACGCGGAGCTGAATGGGGAGTTGGAGATTGCTCAACAGCAGGAATGACACCAGAAGATAGAGATAGCTTCATTGCCATGTTGAAACAGAAGGCTGGTGTAGAATGAACGCGCAATTATGTACTCTTTATCGATAATGCTGGTTTCAATTTTCGAATGCAAAGAGTGAAGATTGAATCGTAATGGTGAGAATTCGCGTTAGGAGACGGGGAGTTTGATTGAGCCTCCAAGACATTAGAAGCTTTTAGTATAAGTAGAAGAACATGTCAAGGGACATTCTTCCATTGTTCTATAGCTTGTAAATACATTGCATGAGTATACTATGAGCTTGAGAGTGGCATATTGATATTAGGAAAAAGAGTATGATGTCTCCTTAAATTTGTCATTTAGACTCATATAGCTATCGTTACAAAAGTGGCTCAATATATCTCTACTGTTACAAAACAGACTCACATATATCATTATCGTTACAAAACAGACTCATATATATCATTATCGTTACAAAAGTTGTTCACATATACCTCTGCCGTTATAAAAGTGAAAATAAATTTAAATTAATTTTTTAAAAATTATGTATTTGATTTTTTTCACACATAAATGATTTTTTAACTTCTTTGCTATTATTATTTGAGCTTTTTCTTTTCTTTTTTTCTTTCATTTTTTAGTGGAAGAGATATAAAAAAAAGTGTAAATGGAAAAAGATTAAAAGTTTTTTTAAAAAAATTAAAATTAATTTTTTGCAGCTATATTGTAATTAATTTTAATATTTGTTAAAAAATATAATATTTGGGGCATCTATAATAAATGTTACAAGAAAATAAGCGGAAAAAAATTAACTTTGACCATTAAAATAATAAATTCAAACTAGTCGATGAATAAAAATAGTCAAAAGAAGAAGAAAAACGTGTGAGAAGAATCAATATACCCTAATATGAATTATCTTTTTTTTTAATAAAAAAATTTAAAATTATTTTCATTGTAAAGTATATATAAGCTCTAAATAACAAAATTGCGAAATATTATAAGTAAATATTTTTATTTCACATTTTAGCCGCAGAAGAAAGAGAAAAGAAGAGAGAGAAAACAGTTACATCCGAATAAGGCATAAAACGCATTCACCAAATGCGATTTATGAAGAACATCAGTAGTGAAGTTTTGCACCTTCTCCTTTACCAATATTAGTATTCTTATTCTTCTTATTATTATTATATAATAATAATAATAATTAGGGGTGGTCATGGTTTGGATAAAATCTGATTCAAATAAAAAAACGAACAAAATCAATTAAATAATTTGATTTTATTTGTGTTTGATTTGGTTTGATTTTAGATTTTTAAAAATAGATAGTATTTGGTTTGAGTCTGATTTTGTTTAAAAAAATGAAGAAATAATCGAACCGAACCGAACCGACAAATATAAATATAAATACTACTTATATATAAGTGTGGATAACCACACACAGGTGACAGTCAACATGCCTGTATCATATGTGTGGTTCCACACTTACATATACATTTGCCTATTTTTTTTCTTCGTTTTAATTTGTTTGTCTTATTTTTTAATTTTATATATTCAAAAATTACATAAAAAATACTATAAATCATTATAATTGACAGCTTAAAATATTTTTACAAAAGCATATAAAAAATTTGATTGCTTATAAAAAAATTGATTGGTTATCTTTACTAGTTTTGCTGTCAATATTTCTTTTTCTAATTTTGTTTGTCAGATTATAACTTACGTATATATATCATATAACAACACTCACATACATTAATGGAACGTAAATTTCGTGATGAATGTATGATTATGATTATAATCTAAATATAGAAAAAATTAATCAACATAGTAATTTTTTAAACTGTATTTATTATAAGTAATTATAATTTCAAAAAGTTACAAAATGTAATTATATTTTTGGATTTTGTAGTAAACACACAATATATCGCGTGTTGATACAACTCTTTCGCGCGTCTTCAACAGATACAACTGACACCCGCCTAATTCAGTTGATACTCGCCACCTATATATCTGCTTGATTCAGTGATAATCATAACCTAAATACAACCCTTTAATTACACAAACTCTTCCGCCATCCATCTAATACATCACTCAATTAAATCTACATTACGTAAATATACAAACTATAGCTATGTTTTATAATGTCGAGCTAAATTAAGCTGTTTATGAAATTCTCTATAATCTACCCAAAAAAATATAAAAAAATTAATAGGGGAAGTTAAAAAGTTTATTTTATGGAAATATTTTTCTTTTACATAAAAGGAAAAAAGAGGAATATTCACAAAAGGTCCTTATTTGAAACTCTGACAAGAATTCAGAGGGCACCTGACTAATTAAAGAAAAATTATTAAACAGTGATTACAAAGAATAGAAAATGACAAAACAACCCACAATGATAAGTTAAAGCTAAAAAATTCCACAAATTCCCAAATCCACTCCTTCATCTCCCAAGGGAGTCTCCATTTTGGCTATAGCTCATTTTGGACCCCACCCCTCCAGCACAATTCCCTCGTATTGCCAACCTAGCTTGTTGTCTTGTTGAAATTTCACATCCATTTACAGGTAATTTTCTTGAAGAATTATGAAAGGGTATGTGTTTTGTTGATGATTTTGTTGATATGTTAGTTTTTTTTTTTTATGTTTTTTCTTTGTGGGGTTATGGATATGTGATTTTTGAATCTGGTTGAAGAACTTGTAAATTGTGTTTTGTAGGTGTAGGTTCTATTGAGGTTGTAATTTTGTTAAGTTTGATCAATTGGATAGTTTCTTGGTTTAATTTTAAAATGGGGTTGTTTTTGTTGATTTTGATGTAGTGATAATGAATTAATGATGTATTTCTCAATTGAATTTGTGGGGGTTGAGGTTTAGTTTAGTATGATGAGCAATTTTAGATGTAAAGATTGGATTTTTATTGGGAATTATACCTATTTCCAGCTTAATTTTTGTGGTGTTTTGTCCTGTGTATGGAGTTGGGTAATACTTTGTGTTCTTTTCAGGGGATTTGATTCTTTTGGTGGAATAAACGTGGGGTTGCTGAATTTTTTTCAGTATGTGTTTGACTTTAGCTGTAATCGAACAAAGGAGAATATTCTGTTCTTTATGAAGGAATAGGAAGTGAGATTGGAGTTAAGAGAAGGAAATTATGTATCGGCCTGTAGCAACTACTACCCGAGGAGGGGTACCTACTGATAGTGGAGATTCTGTGGTGACACTGGATCAAGTTCCACGTTGGATTGATTCTGACGTTAGGTACTTGTATGAGAATGAAGATCCTAATTCCGACTATGCAGATCCTTTGTCAACTGCTTCAGGGTCTGAGGGCAATGCGAATGGTATCGTTTCCAAGTTTCCTGTGGATCATGAGATTAACTCCAAGATATACCTGTGGAGAGGAGACCCCTGGAATCTCGAGGTAGATGCTGTTGTTAACTCTACAAATGAGGTGAGAAGTAACTTCTAGATAATTCTATGTTGTGCTCTTTGTATTTATTTTGATTTGGTTTCTTGACATAAGTAGCATTTGCTTCTTCTGTGGATCAACAATGTGCATCATTTGTTTTTAAATTTGGAGAGTAAGGGATTAATAGTATGTGTGCTTGCATCCGTCCATCTGAGATGGTGGCAGAAACATGAACTTGTAGCCAACAAATTAGCTAAAGAATTTGGGTTTTCATTGAAATATTGAGTTCCAAGTACGGTAGTTTTTTGTCTCATTCGAGTAAATACAGTAGAGAGTAGGGGATGCTTAAAGTTATATGCTTTTTCATGAGCTAGTGATCATGGTCAATAAGTGGGTTCAAAACTCAAATACAAAAAACCCTGGATGATCTCCTCTCATCTACTAAACCTTGGTGGGCAGAGTTACCCTATATGTATATATACTGGTGGGAGATAGCAGGTACTCAGTGGAATAGTTGAGACTTGAGGTGCATATAGTTATCCCAGACACCACTGTTATATAAAAGAAGAAGACTTTAAAGAACCAAAAAAGTAGAATATTTTTCAATCCCCGTTTCTATTTCTTTTAAGGGAAGGGGTAAGTATGGTTGGGGTACTTTATCCATAAAAAGTGGTACAAGTGGAAGTATGTTGATTCTACCAACAATGGGAGGAGGAATATCTTCAAATTTGCATTCTATTTCTACTTTGCAAGTTTATCATAACCGAGAAGTACCTAGAAACTGACACACGTATATGTAGGCTTTGGATAAATCGTCTGTTTTTTCCTGGAAATATGTTTCTTACTTGACATCTTCCTAAAAGATTATAAGGTCGACCAGTGTGATGATTAAATTGTTTCCATACATACCATCTATTTAAGATATGTCTGCACTTGTTCTATTTTGTGCAATTTCAGTAAGAATATTTGTAGAAATGTAGAGACCAGTGATTATTGCAATTAACTACATCAAGAAAACACTTTTCTGTCAGTGGAATTGTTGACAATTATACTTCAATTTTGTGCTCAACAGAATTTAGATGAAGCACACAGCAGCCCTGGATTGCATGCTGCAGCTGGACCTGGACTTGCAGAGGAATGTGCTACTCTTGTAGGTTCCTCAACGTTTCATATGTTTTCCAGATTTTTCAAACTTAATTCCCGAATGGATTCACAAATAGGGTCAGAAGTATAACTTGTGGTGGCAACCAATTAAACCTCAAACAGTTTCCTTACATTTTTTATGGGAGCAGTTTCTTTTGATTTATTTCTTGTACTTTCTGTTTGTTCCAGCTTAAGAATGCTATATAACTTCTTTTCCAACTGTTGGCCCTTGTATTCAACTTATGATGGTGACACTAGAAAAATTTATGTACGGTTTACATTGTTTCATAGGGAGGATGCCGGACAGGAATGGCAAAAGTTACCAATGCTTATGATCTTCCTGCTAGGTGGGTGATTTGGGTTATTTTTATAAACTTTATGCATTATTGTTGAGTATGTTTGTAACTGACTTCTTTTTCAGTTGATCTGCAATACCTTATCTTTACATATGCAATAACGATCACTAGTAAATCCCTAACTAGTCGAAGTCAGCTATGTGAACACCCTATATCTATTCTACTGCATCAAGGCATAGTTCATTCAGTACTCAATTATTTGTCTTATAGGACAAATCATGGATTCTTAAAAATTAGGGATTTTCTCAATCTCACATCTGTCCCTGCATCGTCATACGAGCGGAACCCAACTTAAACGATTTCTGCAAAAAATCGGGCTCAGTGTAAAGGCACCACCAACAACTAACCTTAACTGCAACTGGTTGGTGTTGCCTATACGGATGCTTTGCTTTCGTTGTGTTCTATTATTTGCTAAATCTGCAAGAATTCAAAGAAATTCTATTTCTTTTAAGACAACT